GATAAAAAAAACATGACATTAGGAAGCCGTTTTTCGATTCTCAATTTTGCTTTTTTGCAACATCCGGTTGAATTTTTTCAAGTTTGAAGGGCCATATCTCGTGATCTTGAACTTTGATGACCTTGACCTTCATAAGGTCAAAGGTCATTGACCTTAGCTATCAGTTAATACTTTGACATTTGACCTCCGACATGTACTTCCGGTTTTATAGCTGTCCGAAAACAGCCAAATTCGCAACTTTGGACTACTCTAGCACGTGACCTAATTAACCTAGAGGGTTAATTTTTTCGGATTCTTAATGTGCTTTTCATGCTCTTTCAAGTGATTTATAACAATCGTTTTTTAAAGCAAAATTGAAATTCGTGAATTTTTCAAATTTGAGTTTTTTTTACAATATTTCTATTTCTTTGAGCTTGGTGTGTATATATCTTATGACCTATTTTATGTAGAACATTGAAACTTGGAACACAACAAGACAATTTGAATATGAATTAACCTATGACAAAAAAGTTGAGGTGGGCGTGGCACATCCGGGTTGAATTACTAATTGTTTACATTTTGGGAAAGGGGCATAACTCGCATAGGATACATTTGTTCAAAAAGGAACTTTGCACACAATTACCTCATGATTTTGGCCAGTTTTTGTCAATAGGTCAATTGTTTCAGCTTTATAGTTCCAAAAAAGGAACGGGTTTTGAAATTTCTATATTTTCAATTTTCTATTTTGACCTTTATTGACTCTTGTTGACCTATATCTTTTGACCTGTATGATGTAGAAGCTTTAAATTTGGAACACGACATAACATTTAGAATATCAATTAACCTATGCAAAAGAAATTGAGGTGGGCGTAGCACATCCCGGTTAAATTACTCATTATTGACAATTTTGGCAAGGGACATAACTCGCAACGTTTACATTTGTTCAAAATGGAACTTTGCATACAATTACTTCATTCGTTGAGCCACGTTGTCTTAGAAGTTCGATTGTTTCAGCTTTATAGTTCAAAAAAAGGAACAGCTTTTGAAAATTCAAAATTTTCAATTTTTGACCTTGACCTTTTTTGACCCTGATTTTTGTAGGATCAAAGGTCATTCACATTGGCTATCTATTTATACTTTTATATTTGCTGTCCTATCTCAACTTCCGGTTTTATAGCCGTATATAATGAAAAATTTGGATGACTTGTATCTCGAACCTTGACCTTTGTTGACCGTCTCCCTTTCATGTCAAATGTCATTGACCTTGGCTATCTTCTGATACTTTCATGTGAGGGCTGTCTACTTCCGTTATAACAATCTTACAAACAATTCTTCTCAACTTTAGACTGCTCTATGCGCGTGATGTAATTATCGTAGAAGGTTGATTTTTTCAGAGTCTTTAGCATTTTGCTACATTTGCAAAGTCCCACTATGTGCCACGTGTGGCTCTAGTCTTAATTTTATTTGGGAATTGAAGGATGTGGGAGATTCCAGTGCTTCTCCTAATCTACTTGCTGCTAGATTATTATTTTCCAAAGGTAAGTTGACAATCATTTTATCACACAGTTTCAATAATTCTAATTGTAATATACAATTTTTGAATCTAATGAAAGCTTAGAAAGAAATGAAAGAAAGAACCAGACAAATAACTTAGATTCTCATTGATCCTATATCATAACATTGATTTTAACAGAATAACAACTACGGCTCTCGAGGATTGCGTCCATACGTTCGCTAAACCTCTAGACAATAATCTTATAAGGTTAATAGCTTAATATTTATGGGTAAACAAACAATGAAAACGCAAAACGTAACAATATAGCAATTCGTTCAGTAGATTTCTTTATGCCATTTTCAAAATGGCGTTGGGACAATTTTCTTAGGAAGTGATGTCCTACAAGACACAATGCCATGCAACTATAATGCTTTACATTAAATACTCGCGGGAGAGAACCATAATTTTCATAGTAGACGACGTTCGACGATAAAAGCATTTTGTACCAAAATTACCTTTCATGTTTTATGTCGCTATTTTAGAAATCAGTACAAAGAACAACTGGTGATGAAATTATTCCAAATAAGACGAGGAGGACACCAGAGGTAAACAAGGAAAGAGATCAAGATGAATCAATCGAAAACACGTCACCGGAAGTAAACAATGAAAAGGCTAAAGTTAGACCGATTGAAAACACGTCACCGGAAGTAAACAAGGAAAGAGCTAAAGTTGGACCGATTGAAAACATGTTACTGGAAGTAAACAAGGGAAGGTCTAGAGTTGAACCGATAGAAAACACGTCAAAGGAAGTAAACAAGGGAAGGTCTAGAGTTGAACCGATAGAAAACACGTCACTGGAAGTAAATAAGGAAAGAAAACAAGTGGAACTGATAGAAAACACGTCAAAGGAAGTAAACAAGGGAAGAAATCAATTTGAACAGATAGAAAACACGTCAAAGGAAGTAAACAAGGGAAGGTCTAGAGTTGAACAGATAGAAAACACGTCAAAGGAAGTAAACAAGGGAAGGTCTAGAGTTGAACCGATAGAAAACACGTCAAAGGAAGTAAACAAGGGAAGGTCTAGAGTTGAACCGATAGAAAACACGTCACTGGAAGTAAATAAGGAAAGAAAACAAGTGGAACCGATAGAAAACACGTCAAAGGAAGTAAACAAGGGAAGAAATCAATTTGAACAGATAGAAAACACGTCAAAGGAAGTAAACAAGGGAAGGTCTAGAGTTGAACAGATAGAAAACACGTCAAAGGAAGTAAACAAGGGAAGGTCTAGAGTTGAAGCGATAGAAAACACGTCAAAGGAAGTAAACAAGGGAAGGTCTAGAGTTGAACCGATAGAAAACACGTCAAAAGAAGTAAACAAGGGAAGGTCTAGAGTTGAACCGATAGAAAACACGTCACTGGAAGTAAATAAGGGAAGAAATCAAGTTCACACATCACTGGAAGTAAATAAGGGAAGAAATCAGGTTGAAGCGATAGAAAACACGTCAAAGGAAGTAAACAAGGGAAGAAATCAATTTGAACAGATAGAAAACACGTCGAAGGAAGTAAAAAAGGGAAGGTCTAGAGTTGAACCGATAGAAAACACGTCACTGGAAGTAAATAACGGAAGAAATCAAGTTGAACGGATAGAAAACACGTCACTGGAAGTAAACAAGGGAAGAAATCAAGTTGAACCTATCGAAAACACGTCCCCTGAAATATACAATGAAAGAGCTATTGTGGGACCGATCGAAAACACGTCATCGGAAGTAAACAATGAAAGAGTTAAAGTTGAACCGATCGAAAACACGTCACCGGAAGTAAACAATGAAAGAGCTAAAGTTGAACCGATTGAAAAAACGTCACCGGAAGTACACAAGAGAAGGGCTAAAGTTGGACCAATCGAAAACACGTCACCGGAAGTACAAAAGAGAAGAGGAAAAGTTCCCGATTTGGAATACACAGTACTCAGAGATCACCGAATTGAAATGGTTGACAACTTGGTTCCCGAAAAACTTGTTCCATTTTTAATACAAAATAAAGTTATTGATCAAGACGACGAGGAGAAGATCGAAAAGAAATGTAAAGATTTGAGACGAAAGGGTGCTGAAACCATGCTGAATATTCTTTATAACTCGGGGAGTTTGGTTTTTATGCAATTAATAGCGGCTCTGAAACAAGCCGGTTATCAAAATATGGCTCAGGGATTAACAAGAGACTTAGAAAAGGTATGATCATCGTCCTAATTCATCATCGTCATCGTCATCGTCATCATCATCCATCATCCATCATCCATCATCATCATCATCATCTTCACTATCGATCGTCATTTCTATCTTCGCCTTGTCTTTATCCTTAACTTCATCACCATCTTCGTCGTCGTCGTCGTCGTCGTAAGTCATTCATCTTCATCGTCATTTCCATCATCATCTTCAACTCGATCTCCATGTCCATCATCATCATCATCATTCTTTGTTTATTATCATCAGCGTAAGAGGTCATCATCAAAAAAATAATTAAGAATCAATTACAGAAATATGATTTCCGCCCAATATAAAACTTATTTGATGTCTACTTTAAAGGCGGTTATCGTTCGACCGTGGCAACATAATCATTGTTATTCATCAGTATGTTACTGTGTTTGTTTCAGAAAAAGACCAACTTTACCTCAGCCAAAACCATCAAACAGAGAGGGCGTTTGTCTGAAGTTGAGTTTGAAGTTTTGAGAGACAACCATGAGAGATTAGTGAACGAGCTCGACCCCAGTGTTCTGAAAAACTATCTCTTTCAAAACGACCTTATTGATGAAGATGATCTGGAAAGGATTAACAAGAAAGAGGAAGAATTCAGAAAGGAAGGGGCAGAAGAAATGATCACTATAATTTATGAATCTCGTGCAAATGCTTTTCCAAAACTGCTCAAATCCCTATTTGAAGCAGGTTACTACGAATTGAGCTTGAAATTGGATTCCGATTTTAAACAGGTAAATCATTCCTTCCTTCCCACAAACAACCTCCCCCATTGAAACCACATACTGGATCTAACTATTGATTAAAATGTCGTTCGTTGTGCTACCTTGTACTTCAGTGTGTAATATCGTCTTTCTTTATTCTTTAAAGGCTCCAATTTTTTTATGGATGTTTCTTTTCAGAAAAGCAGGGAAAGAGCTGAAGGTAAAAAATCTGTTCAATTGTCACCTAAAAGTGTAGTTCCCGTCTTGGAATACACAGTTCTCCGAGATAACCGAATTGCAATGGTTGACAACTTGGTCCCCGAAAAACTTGTTCCATTTTTAAAAAAAAATAAAGTTATTGACCAAGACGATGTGGAGAAGATCGAAAAGAAATGCAAAGATTTAAGACGAGACGGTGTTGTTACCATGCTTTTTTTTCTTTATAAATCGGGACGCCGGGCTTTTAAAAAATTAATAGTAGCTCTGAAAAAAGCTGGTGATGAACAAATGGAGCTGAAATTAACAAAAGACTTAGAAAAGGTATCAACAACAACGTTTTGTTGTCATCTATTCATCTCCATCTTCATCTTTGTCATCTTCATCTTCTCCATCTCCATCTTTGTCATCTTCACCTTCTGCATCTTCTTCTTATTCAGTATCATCATCATCTTCTTCTTCATCCTTGTCATCTTCATCTTAATCTTCTTCACCTTCATTTGCATCTTCATCTTCTTCTTCGTCGTCTTAAATCATATATCATCATTAGTCATTCATCATCAGTCTTTAATCATAAGTCATTCATTATCATCAGTAGTCATTCATTAGCATTGTCATCGACATAAGACATTTGTCATTATCTTCATTAACCATAATCATTATCATCATCAATCATTATCGATACTCGTTCCTGTTTTATTTCAGAAAATAGCAGATCTTCATTTAACAAAAACCAAAAAACAGAGAGAACTTTTGTGTGAAGTTGAGTTTGAAGTTTTGAGAGACAACCATGAGAGTTTGGTGAACGAGCTCGACTATAGTGTTCTGAAAAACTATCTCTTTAAAAAAGAACTTGAACATTACATGAAAGCGATGAGCACGAAAGATGAAAAACTTCGTAAGGAAGGGGCGGAAGAAATGGTCACAATAATCTTAAAATCTGGTCCTAATGCTTTTCCTGAACTGTTGGAATCCTTAAATCAGGCAGGTTACGTCGAATTGAGCTTAAAACTGGATTCCGATTTAAAACAGGTGCGAGCAGAACGTGCTTACTCTTTTCGAAACACCTGATGGTACTTTTCTTTGGAGGAGTCAACTATTATACAACCTTTGCTCCCGATATTTATTCTAATGATTATATGTGATCATTCACTAGAAGACTACATTATAATGGGATCAAACCTGAACAAATTGAAATGGGGACCAAGTGAAAAACCTTCCAATTGGTCTATAAATATACAAATTTGCCTGTTTTCAAAGCATCGATTTTTCCTGAATGTTTTTGTTTCAGAAAAAGAAGGAAGGAGGTAATACTGGACTGGAAATCGATCTGAATTCCGTGGCATTTCCTGATTACCCCAACATTCCCAAGCTGAAGATAGAGTCCGATTTGTTTTGTGAGGAAACTGCTGTATTAAATTGGGGACGAGAACTTATAAAATGGATGAAAGACGATTCGGGAATATCGTGGTGTTTTGCTATGAGCGAATGGTTTCAAAACCATGAATTTAAATCTGAAAAGGAATTGAAAACGGTGCTACACTATTGGTTATTGGAATTTGAGGACGTTGTTAACAGAGGTTGTTTCCAAATTAACAAAATCAAATTGATTCTGGATGTGACAGAAGCCTTCTTTATGCCTGATAGCAACAGTTCTATTTTTCATAATAAATTAATTTTTACAGACATCATTAAAGATTTTGCTCCAGATTTTTTAACATCAGAAGATAAAAAAGAGTTTTTTCAAACCAAAAAAGCAGAGAAAGAAAGATTGCTTGAACAACAACAACTACTTTCCGAAAAATTGAAATACAATTTAGAGGGAATTGTTGAAGGGAATCAGAACTTTGAATTGTTACCTATTGATATTGACAGGTGCGAGCTAGCTAAATATTTCCACTCTGTTGTTAATGACGTAAGAAAAATATGGGAAAAATTTCTTGTGTAATATATGTAGTAATTTGTTGATCTAAAAAGACTCAAATGGATCCCCCTACCACCTGTTCTCCCACCCCCTGTACCCTCACTGGCGCCACCATTGTGTACACTACTTCGTTTCCGCATCAAGCACGAGTATCACCGGTTATCATTGGTTGTCACTGGTGATATGTCATTCCAGGGAATCGTTATACATTGTTTTTATATCTGCTCTTTAAAGAGAAAGCCGATTAATCAAAACAATAATTCTTATGGTTAAGATCATTAAGTATTCAGCCCATTGTGATTTTGTAAAAACTTATATTATTTTAAGCATTTTATTCTCTTTTTTTGAAAATTGTTTGTCGATTAAAACCACAATATTAAAGATTTTTACATGTGTTTTCGGTATAGAAAGGTTATTCTTAAATAAGCACGTCAGTCCAGATTTTGAGAAAAGGGAGCGATCCTTTAATATATACGTAGAAATCCAATTTTTAAAAGGGGTCGTTTCGTTGATAACAAAACAGTACAAGAGTTCGGGTTTTTGAGAGAAAGGGGTCAACATTAGCAGTCTAATTTTTGAAAAAAAGGGGCGATTCTAATTCAGTACAGGAGCTTCGTGTAGTTATATTTTATAAAGCTGCAACAAACCCTACTTTAATTATTTGGACACGATCGTTTGGCATCATGACGTCACTTTCGCAAATACTATTAAGTACGTAGTGATGATCGATCAAAACTATGGCACAAAACTGCTTTATATAGACATAGATTTAATAGAACTACGTAGATGTTTATTGAAAGTCTTACATGTAGCTCAATAGCTCGATTCGACCGGCTGTATTCCAGGTTAGAAGCTCTTGACTCAGTCTATATCAAGCTTAGAGCAGCGATGATTTAATTATTCATTTAGCTTTTCAAAAATTTTTAGAATTGTTTGTTGGTTAGAATGGCATCATCATTAGGAATACTCTTGTTGTTTCAACTATTGGACTTTTCATTCGCGACGCAGGAGTCTGTGAATTGGAGAAGAGTTTCGGTTACGGAACCAGTTATGGTTCGACAGGAAAATTCCTTTGCCACCAACAATACGAGATTGTGTTTCGTTCGGTGTTCCAGTCAGCTAAACATGCCTATAGCCACGATCCAAGATGGACGATGTTACTGTTTTAAACTGAACAGCGATACTCCTAGGGGTAACGTGGCGCTTTCGTCCTTCTTCGTGAAAACAGCTAGTAAGTATACTCTTGATGTGTGTTTACACGATTTATAATGAAATTGTCTCTTCCATAAAAGGCTAATGAAAGAGGGCATAAATTTCGGGAGAGCCAAAATACTAAACTTTCCTTCGGTTTCAGATGCTAACAGGAATGGCACCCCTGAACTGAATCACTAACAAAGTGAAAATGGTAAAATATAGAAATGAAATGAATGGAGTTTTACTTCTTACCTTTCTGCACCATGTAGGCAAATGAAGACGGGCAAAGCTATGCAGAGAGCAATGAGGGAGAAATACAGTGGCATCAGCCTGCTGTCGACGTATATTTAAAGTACACATCCTGTAGCACACAGGACCTCTGTTATTGTCCCAACCGAACGACTAAACGTTCTTTCCATATCAGCTCCTCTTACCTACATCACTGACATGGGGAAACCGGGTTAAAAAAATTCGACGGTATTACATCGACCTAGGTCGGGATTGAGCCATGTACCTTCAGGTTAGCGAGCAAGCGTCTAACGCACCACTCAGCTATCGCGACTCCGGTTAAATATAGAAATAAATCTTGAATCATATCTGGAAATTATCTAAAACTATTTAAACCTATACGGTATGGGGATTTGGGAGCGTTTCTCCCGATAAGAGTTGTACGTACTATGTTTCAGGGGAAGCAGATTGTGTATCTAAAGGTTACAACGTGTATTCCAGTCTTGGTGTATGTATCAAATTTTCTGGTAACAGTAAAAAGGATTTCCCTGGAGCTCAAGAGACTTGTAACCAAGATGGCGGTTATTTGATAAAGGTAGATTCTCAAACTAAAATAAATACCGCCATGTCACTCGTGACTAAAAGTAAGTATAAGTATGTAAAGTTCACATAGGAGTATACGGCATATGCTCTACGCTCTAGATTGACTAGATTAGAAATTCTGGCAATCTCAGATATTTCGTCCCCAATTAAACCCGAATAGTATACTCCTATGTGAACTCAGTCTTACAGTAAGTTATAACAACCTTGCCGTTTGTCCGATTCAATTTTCATAAACAGTTGACAGAGATTCGAACCAACGACCACAATTTGTTCAAGCAAATGACACCATGTAAACTTTCTAATGCTCGAACTATCTTTCAGAGAGACCACATAGCTGATAATGTCTAATAGGTATTTAGTTTTGTCGATCCGGTTTCTCTTTCAGAGAGTCCACAAAGCTGATAATATCTTTTATGTATTTAGGCTTATCGATCCGGTTTCTTTCAGGGATTCTACATAGTTTATAATGTCTTTTAGGTATTTAGGCTTGTCGATCCTGTTTCTCTTCAGAGAGTCCACATAGCTGATAATGTATATTAGGTATTTAGATTTATCGATCCGGTTTCTTTCAGATATTTCACAAAGCTGATAATGTCTAATAGATATTTAGGCTTGTCGATACAGTTTTTCGTTCAGAGAGTCCACATAGCTGATAATGTATATTAGGTATTTAGTTTTGTCGATCCGGTTTCTCTTTCAGAGAGTCCACAAAGCTGATAATATCTTTTATGTATTTAGGCTTATCGATCCGGTTTCTTTCAGGGATTCTACATAGCTTATAATGTCTTTTAGGTATTTAGGCTTGTCGATCCGGTTTCTCTTTCAGAGAGTCCACATAGCTGATAATGTATATAAGGTATTTAGATTGATCGATCCGGTTTCTTTCACAAAGCTGACACTATCTTTTAGGTATTTAGATTTGTCGATCCTGTTTCTCTTTCAGAGAGTCCACATAGCTAATAATATCCATTCTGGTTTACTGTCATACATTTTTTTATAGTGACAGAACTCGTGTTTATTGGTGCGTTCACATACCAGAAAGGACAGGACTATTTAAACGTTAAAGGAGGTAAACTAGATCCACAATTTTGGGACAGCAATGAACCAGATTCGGTGGGCGCTGATATTTGTGCTGGGTTACCTAAAATTAGCGGCGTTCTCAAAGGTGTCGCCGATGTAGGTTGTGAGGGGGTCATTCCATTTTTCTGTGAACTTTTGTTGTAACGTTTTCATCATTGAAATTAAGTATCATACGATTGTTAATATCACGTCGACTCGGATAGATTTACTTTCGTCGTTCGGACAGAGAAATGTTTGAATATCCGAGTACGTTTCTGTTGATTGTACAAAAGACGTATCCGTCGGATCAAATATTTGAGTCTGTCCAGGGACGATTACGGTGATTCAAGAACGTGCTTTTGGGCTGAAATGTTTGTCTATCCATTAATAGTACAAAAGATCAAATATTTCATCCGTCAAGTGAAGCGACTGTCGATAAAGAACTGTTTGTATATCCAGAGAAGTTTTTATGCTGTAAAGTTTGATATCAGTGATTAATTGATTGCCGTATTCTGTACTTTTTTTTTTAGATGTCTTGAACTAAAGTCTGGATTGTGTGTTGATTTTTTTAATAGATACAGTGTATGTACATTAAAGATTCGAAAATAATGAGTTACAGCTGCTTTTCTCTCATTGAACACGGCTTGTGCTTCATAACCGCAGGAAGTAAGCTGGTCGAGCTACAGCTAGGTTAGAGGGAATATATATATATCATACGGACCTAAAACGTCTTTGGTTGTCTAAACGTTTGTTTTGCCTTACAGGGAGTAGTTTTCATAAAAAATTATTTGTATAGTGGACACTGATAGCATCATATTTCACCATTTCAATCAGACCTCTGTGGTTCTTGCAATTTCACCAAAACTAAGCGTTTTATGACGTCACTATCGCAATATTTTTTTCATATTTTTTATATCAATGACATCTTTAGCGATAGAATGGTGCTAACCATCTATCAGTGTCCGCGATACATAAAAAGTTTAGAAAACCTCTTTACAATCCCTTTAAAGCAACAGATGCGCCATTTTTTGACCAATCATACTTCTCAGAAAGAGGATTGTTTTTATCTAAACCAATCAGTGATAGTGTTCACAGCCTACCATCGAAATTTGAGCCTTCAAATCCATGTGTGTCCTTAATTATCTGCGTTTGAATTTTAAAAATGACGACTATTCATTTGAAGATACTTTGTGATATATAGAAAAAAAGTATATAGAAATAGTGAGTAAAATGACCAGTAACCATATCTCTACCAACTGAAATGGACACTACACCTGCACCATCTAGAGCTACCACGCTGCCGAACCAAACCCCTAAACGAGCCCGAAGTTCACCTACCCCTAGTCCAGCAGACATAGGTAAACGCTCTCGTAGAGAGGGCACACCCCTTCTCTTTTCACTTTCAGACTCGTCTTCCCCTTCCACACCATCTGAATCTTCACCACGTGATCCAGGATCCGCCAACCTTTCTTCCTTCTGTGCGTTTTTGGACCAGCAAACCACCCCTCAGTCTCCATCCAAGTCGAGACATGTATCCAGACCTTCCCCTCCTCGAACCAGATCCCAGTCCGTTCCCAATGCTACAATTCTAACAACTACCAAACCAGTACCAATCACACCGTCGACGACCATTATATCCGCTACCAAACCGTATTATCACCAAACCAAGGACAAATCATTATGGAAACTACCTGCTCTAAAGAAATCAACCTTAATAATTGGATCATCTAACCTGAATCGAATTACCAAAACCAGTTCAGACACCGAAATACATTCTTACCCCGGTGCCCAAATCCATCACATACAGTCAATCCTGGAATCATACGACCATGATCCCAAACCTACTACCATTATTCTTCATGTAGGCCTCAACAACCGTGATCAGATACCAAAGACCTCCTTTAACCAAGCCCAGAAATTAACCGCCACAGCCAACAAAACCTTCCCAAACTCCAAGATCCTCTTCACATGTATACCCATTTCAAATAAAATCTCGAAGAAAGCACAACAGAACCTCAGCACCCTCAACAACATGATGATGGAGTCCAGTATCAACAGCGCAACAATCTTACCACCCTACGAAGAAGAATTCGAAACAGTTGATAATCTTCATTGGTCTCCAGAAACAGCAAACAGCATTTATTTGTTTTGGATACACCAGCTTCAAGCATCGAGTAAGTCTTTAAACTAATTACTGGGGATAAAAATACTGAGAGGCCACCGCTAGGCCAAACTGTAGTTAACTTGAGCCGCAAAATTCTCACACCCCTTCAGCATTCAATCTTAGACCGTGGACTTAAGTTTATTCCCACACCAAAGATAGCTAACTTGAATTATCTCCGACCATCCATTGAACGATTTCAACGAAATCTTAGCTGCACATATTTTTTTCGATACCACCCCCCACGTGGTGCTAGAACAATGTTTATTCCTAAATCCACGTGGACACCCCCTCAGGCCGCCATCCATCCTGAAATATTGAAAGCATTTGCTAGTATGAATAGCCAAACAGTGAATCTTTCCATAACACACGAAAAGCCGAATCTCACACGAGTGGAACGTGAAGCGTTAAACTTACTTAAGAAAGACGATAGCATTGTTATTAAAAAGAGTGACAAAGGTTCATGTTGTGTCATTCTGAATAGGGAGGATTACGTTTCAGAAGCAGAGAATCAACTGAATAATCCTAAACATTATGCCATTTTACCGAAACCAATTTTCAAAGAAACTGCTAGCATGATTAATAATATTCTTGCCGATTTAGTCAAAACTAGTTATCTCAAACAGAAACAATATGACTATCTGTCTGCCAAACCTGATTGTCGCGAGAGACATTTGTACACTTTGCCTAAAATCCATAAGAATCCAACCAAGGAGTGGTTTATCTCGAATAAAATCCCTAAAGGCCGCCCGATT